AGTGTATTTTGCTAAACCACACTTTTATCTGGACCTACAAGAATTGTTCAGTAGTGAGTCCATCACACAAAGAAGACCTTTAGAGCCGACTAACTGAGAGGTCTCTCCAACCTCCTCGGGTATATCCTTAATTACGAAATATATCTATGACGTAACCGGGGCACGTCATAAGGTGCAATCAGTCAAATCTAATAAAAAAACATGTAAGCAAAGGGAAATAATGGATCCCTGTAACTGCTGAATACCTGTAAATGGAGTGTGGGGGTTACGGTAAGCCAGATAGATCCCGAGGGTTAACATTTCATCGAAGAATCACACCACTGCAAAGCAGTGAGTGACCGCTAAAAGCCAAAGCATTTCACCGTTCATGCCGTCTTTTTAGGCTCACAGTTTGAATCCCACTTTATATCAAAAGTTGCTTAAAGTTGTGCTCAATCCAACTCACTACTGTACGTATGAGGTATGGATAAACCTGGACGTCCTGGCAGTATATTCAAGGAAGCTTATGACCGAAGTACTGAACTGCCAATTCACAATGAGTAGCTGTCGGAGAATCATGCTGTGTTCCCCGATGTGCTCCATCCGTCAGCATGCTGAGACTTTGCATGGCACCAGATCCACTTTTGGTTTTTATAACTGACAGCATCAACGAGGCGCCGATGTTGGTTCGCTAAATTAAGACACCCCTGATTCACAATTGGTTCGTGTTAAAGATGCAGATGAAGAATTTCGCTTCATTTAGATTTTTCTTTCCGGCTGACTTAATGGCTCCATCGACAGATTTCTCACGTTAAAAGAACCTAACCCAAAGATCCTGGATCAGAAAGAGCCCAGACATGGAGTGGAAGGTTTGGATAGCAGAACCTGCATGGTCCTCTGTGGCGCAAGTGGTGACAGTTTGTATGCAATGCCAGTCACAGCTCCGGATTAACAAATATTGAACATTTGTTGCATTTTTGCCTTTGAGTCACCTGATTCAGGAAATAATTGATCAAATGATGCTGGTGTTTTTTAAAATCGTTGTTGAACAGCAAGGCAATACCTTCAAAGTCTTGCTCCGAAGTTTTCAAAGACATATGTTCTATTAAACTGCTCTCTCTAGGACAACCTAATTAATCACGCTAACCAACAGGGATGTATTATTAGAATGTTCATACTTGTATTTCTATTCAAATATGGCAACTCTTAGGATGAGAAACTGAGGAAGCCCTTGGTTTGCCTCTATTAGCCTCTTCTTAAATACACCTCTGTCACAGATTGTTATAGCCTACTTTTGAATATTTAAACCAATATCAGGTTTAAAGAAAGTGGAAAAATACATTCAGCTCCACACTAATTATATTTTCACAAGGGACCCAACTGAATTTCTCGCTTATGATTTTCTTCTTCAGTTGAATGTGCTGCACAAAGCCTTCTCACGTGTCAGCTGGTACGATACACTATTATCGCAATACACCGTCTAGACATGGCACACTTTTCGTAAGGTTGCTGGAAATTCCTTGACCGTTCACGAATGGCTTCGCCGCTCTTTGGGGCACATCAGTTGGACACACTCCACAATTCTCCCTCAACCTTATGTTCTACTCAACCCCAATTGGCACCAAAATAGCGAATGCACTCATTCAGTTGGACACACTCCACAATTCTCCCTCAACCTTATGTTCTACTCAAACCCAAATAGCACCAAAATAGCGAAATGCACTCATTCACGTACCAGTCTGGTTTTCACAGAAAATCCAAATTAGTCTTCCGTTTATAAGTGGTATGCAAGTGACTGTATTTCGCTATGTCATTCGGGTCCGAGTAAAATACAAGGTTGAGGAAATCTCATCGACTGTGCTTACCTGATTAGCCTCAAAAAGGACAGAACCAGTCTTGTACTGTCAGAGTTTTCAGCAGCCTTATGCATCGTGTGTTACGTCTTTACCTGTGACACTTATTACGTCTCCCCACAGTGACCATAAGTGCCAACAAATGATTGTGGTTACAAAATTCAACTACTCCCTTGGTCTGTGCTCTGTTCACCATGGCGATGATGGAGTACATTTGAAAATCCAGTTCACAACAGTTAGGGATCTTCCAGTCCCCCAGCGAAGACTGTAGTGTAACTAAACCTAGCTAACACTACACGTATCCTGCTATCAACCGACGGTCACGGACGTCTGCAGTTAGGGGTTTTGCGTACCAGCCCATCACTTTCTGAAAGATCTTCCTCACAAGGAGATAAATAAGCAGCTTGTTCTAAAAGTTTAAATAAAGGTTATGCTAAACAGGAATTCAAGGTTAACCGTAAACCATCACATCAGATTATTCGCAGGCATGGGAGGAAGTCTGGCGGGTTTATTTACTGCATGTGATGAACCCAACCAATCATCATCCGCACGCACGATGAAGGAAAATCAAAAACCGACAGTGGATACACCAGGGAGGATAGTTTTCAGAAGTACCAGAGAACAATCGCTGCAAGCGTTAGGATGTCAACAGTGAAAAACTATTTTGACTATTGGGATCATTTGAGCAAGGCGATATCAGTGCTTGACACAAACAGGTGGAAATGGAAATTTACCGCCAGGAACGGTTGAATGCAACGAACCACTACACAAAACTGATACAACTATCTGGTCAGCTTTTGACGCAGTAAGCTTCGCATGGTTATTTGGAAGTCGTTTTATTTTCATGTTATTCGAAAACATGAATTTCCCGGCATCCCCCGCATAAGTACAAGTTTCACTGTGTACCTACTGTGAACGTGGACCAGCTGCCGAATTTACAAACCCCTTGCCCTGAATTAAGGAGTGAATCATCCTGGCATAAAATAAGAATGATACTACTTGGGAGTATCCTGTAATACAAAGAATCGCCTACCCTGTGCGATGGAGTTCTGATGTGCAGAATGACTCTATCCTGTTAATCAGTGTGTATATTTCACTCGCCTAAGAGCCTTGTATAATTACTATCTGTTCGTTCCAGTTGCCTCTATCAACAACTGATTTTGCCTTAATTACCTGTACACTGACAGACTGCTCACTGACTAAACTTATCACAAACCCAACCATAGTAAAACACTCACTATTTTGAATGCCAAGAAAGTGTATGTCTATTATACCACCCACTCAGGATTAATCCAGCTGTATGGCTAATCTGCGAATCCATTAGAACATGTTCAAGCCCCATAAACTTTGGTAGCAATTTCTTTTTTCTCGTCGCAGTTCAATTTCGTCTATACGGAGCCACACTTGATCGAGGGGGTCATCTTAGGTGTGGTTAGAAATTCTTGTAATGTACTACTCGTAAGGTTGCTGAAAATCCGTCGACAGCCCACGACAGGTTTCGCCCTTCTTGGGGCCTATCAGGTAGGCGCCGTCCCCGAGTTTCCGTCAACCCTATGTTCTACTTGAAACCAAATTGCACGAAATTAGCGAATATACACTCATTTACAAACTAATTTGTTCTTTTCGAGAGACTCACCTGGAACCCAGCTGAATCTCTCGTTTGTGATGCTCTTAGGCAACTGAATGTGCTGCACTAGGCCGCCTCATGTTTCAGTCGCTACGATATTCGAGGTATCGCGATGTATGTATATCTTTGTAATGTACTACTCATAAGGTTGTTGAAAGTTCGTCGACAGCCCACGACCGGTTTCGCCCTTCTTGGGGCTCATCAGGTAGGTGCAGTCCCCGGGATTCCGTCAACCTTATGTGCTACTTGTAACCAAATTGCATGAAATTAGCAAATATACACTCCTTTACGGTTAGAAATTGATTCCAATATTCCGATGTGACAACTCAAATGAACCAGCTTATGGGATTAGTGCTTCAACACCTGAGAGCTCGCAAATATTAACAATTCAAGACCAATTTTGACGCCGTGTGCCTTCCATTTAGCTTGACTGACAGACTTGTTGGAAGCCAGTAATTTATACATACCAGTAAAGACAAAAACAATCTGATTGCCGCATGTCATCCATTCTGAAGTGTCAAACGGGCGTCGTTATATCATTTCGAACGTGCAAGAATCTGAGGGCTGGGAAGACAAAGCTTTCAAAGTATCTTCCTATGCGCTTACTCCAAAGTAGTCAGGACGTGCACCTTAAATCACTGTGACCCGGGTTAAAGGGCTTTTTCCCCGATAAAAACCATGTTCTAGATGCAAGCTGATGATGTGTTGTGAGCGAACTGTGCTAAGTCTATACCTATCCGCTAAAATGTACTGTTTAACGCATGAATTGGATTTACGTGACAGAATAACTGGTATAAATCTGAAACCGATTGAACATTTCATTTCCGAGTGCACGTGACGGGCACAATGTGAAGCCTGGGATAGAAAAACCGAACTCTATTTTAACTGACAGGTGAGCTACTAGCCAAGCCACCGAACAGGTTACTCCATGTTATATTTATGCAGCTGACTATACAAAGCGGAGCAGCCTGCTTGATGGCTGAGCTGTTACGACACCCATCAGACAAGTAGGGCGCCAATGGTTAGACTCTCATCGGACTAGAATTTCCATACAAAATGCTCGTATTTTTTACCCATCTCTCATTTTGATAATGAGAAAATTCTTCAGAGTCTAAACTGCATCTTAAAATGCTACGTTACAACCCGGAAAACATCTTGCAAGCACCCTGATTCTGTAGTTATTTGAAAAAACAAACATTTATTAGTCATTAATTCAAACAGATGGAAATTTATAAAGCGGCAAGTTGTCTGTTTCAGCAATTTTTCAGGGTCATCTGAGAGGAATTTCCCATAACATGGATTGTCGCCACTCTTTATATAGATAGCTTATTTTATAGACAGAAACTGAACAATTTAATATATAATTTGAGTGAATCAGATCTGCTTAGCAAGCTTGCGGCACTAGTCAGCCTGATTCAGCACAAAACTAACCTAAGGCTATACTATTATCTTTTAAATGGTGCAAACGAGTGAACATATCCGGATTATGGGAAAAATTAGAGGATGGGCGGAAACCGACAAGGAACAACTTATTCACTTACTTGTTTACTTCGAGTTCCAGCCTTCCACTCCTCACTTTCTGACCCATCAGGAACATCGCGCTGTGGGGGAGTAGGCGAGGTCATGAAACGTCTGCTGGCCGTCACAGACCGATTTCTCCTTAAATTATTTGCCCACATGTTTGGGTCGACGTTTCTTTTATTGCCTTCTCGTATCGCTTCTCGTACCCGCTCACGAATCGTCTGGAACTTTCTGTGCTTGTCTGCTATAGCGACCTTTTCGGCCTTAGCAATCGCCCTAGCAATAACCTGATCTCGAATTGCTTGTTGATTTGCCATGCGATTGACCACATCACGCCTAGGCTCCGGTAAGGGAGAACCCAAGGACCGTGCATTTAATGGTTGCCACCAGGCCAACCCACACGTTGTGCATTTTGCGCCTATGTTTTTAGTTTCAGATTGCTCTCGAATGTGACGGTTGACCACAGATTTATTGGGTATGCGTTTGGTCCCAAGTCTGAAAGTGTCTTGTGTGACCGGTGAAGATAGTCTAGAATCAAACTCATTTAGGACTGGTCGGCTTGGTGATGACCAACACTCCTCAGTTTTACGGTATTCAGAGCGAAATGTGGTTTGCGAAAAAACTCTAGGTGGAGGTGAATACGACTCCGGTTTCGATTGTTGCAGACTAAGAAGGTAGACACGCGATGGTGTATAGGTTGGAAGCGCAGCCGTGTTGAGAGGACGCAGTTTTCTGTCCCGGAGTTCCAGCCCCCGATTCCGTTCCAATGGGTTTCCACGCAAAGAATGACCATAAAAAGAGCTGGAATAATATGGTTGTTGGAAAGTTGTTTTTGACCGTCGAATGTCCTGTAAGTAGACATCTCGCCTCTGTTCGCTAGCGTGGAGGGTTCTGCTTTCCGGCGGGTTTGTTGCACCGTAATTAACGGTCGAGGTACTTGTTTGATTAAGAGAATTACATAATGTGTTTGGCGAGACTGCTCCTACACCAGGATTTCGAACACGAGCTAAATACTTTTCCGTACATGCTGTGGTAACTACCGATGGATCTCCTGATACGTTATTATGGAGGTCTTCAGCGGATCG